GGTTAGTTAAAGGGTTTAGGGTTGGGGTTTAGGGTTTAGGGTTTGGGGTGTAGGGTTTGGGGTATAGGGTTTAGGGCTTAGGGTTAGGGCTTAGGGCTTTGGGTTTAGGGCTTAGGGCTTAGGATATCCGTTGCCAGTATCTTTGCCACGTAGCGAAACGTTTTTCTTCTTTGTCCAACTCAAGACCAAGGCAAATCGGAAGATGCATTTGATCAAGCACATAGAAGGCCTCTTGTGCTTACCGCAGGCTGGAAAGTGATGGGTGTTGCGAGAAATTGGGAGTTTTGTGTGTTGCGATGAAAAACTGTAGACGAAGTCTGTTCGTTCTGGTTTGCTCAGGCGGCGCAGGCGCCGACCTGTTTGGAAGAGCTCTGCAGCGGTGTTTGCGATGCCTTCTTGCAACTTTGGCGATCATGCGAGGCAAGAAAGTCTGAAGCTACAAGAATAAAATCCGGTCGCCAACATAAGAAGTTCGCAAAATATGGAAAATTGCGTACAGAAAAGCAGGCGTTAGCAGAAACATTGCAAGCACCCTTGCACGACCCAGTAACACGCCTTGCAACATAACCCTGAACCGTAAGCCCTACACCCCTATGCCCGAAGCCTGAACACTAAGCCTAAGGCCCAAAAAACCGTGAGGTCCTGTAGAATCCCCAAAGGGTTTAGGGTTTAGGGTTTAGGGTTTAGGGTTTAGGGTTTAGGGTTTAGGGTTTAGGGTTTAGGGTTTGGGCATAGCCCTCCAAGAATCCTGACACGACTCTACGAATTCCTACACAAAAAAACGCATAATATGAAGCCGCAAACCACAAGCCTATGAAGCCCAAGCAACCGCACAAAGCCCCAAACCCCAAACCCCCGAAATACTAAGCTGTGAAGCCCTGAGCCTCCCTAAACCCTAAAAACCCTAAACCCGAAACCCGAAACCCTAAACCCTAAACCCTAAACCCAAAACCCAAAACCCTAAACCCTAAACCCGAAACCCTGCATGAAAATGCCAAAGCCGGGGGGCGGTGCGGCCGGCGAGCTTGATCGGCTCCTCTCTTCGCTGGATTTCTTTGCTTGCTTAAGGGCTTAGGGGTTTGGGTTTAGGGGTTTAGGGTTTAGGGTTTAGGGGTTAGGGTTTAGGGGTTTAGGTTTCCGGGTTTAGGTTTAGGGTTTAGGCTGGATTTCTTAAGGCTCATTGCTCTACAGGGTTGCATACGGTTCTGTAGCGTTGCATAGGGTTCGATAGGGCTTGGTAGGGTTTGGCAGGGTTTAAGAGTTTCGGGTTAGGGCATTGATAATCTTGGGTCAGGGTTTCAAAAGGTCTAGGGTCAGGGTGTAAAGGGCGTTTCACATCCTTATTGGCACGTATGAATGCACTCATGTATGTATGTGTGTGTACAGCCTTGAAGCGCACAGCGGGCCACTGTGTGAACTGCAGGGAGCTCAGCAATTGGAATTGATTTTTTGGGGGCATGTTGCAATGAAAAAATAGAAAAATAACAAGGAACCCTCTCGAAAAAAACCCGAATCCCTAAACCCCTAAACCCTTAAACCTAAACCCTGAAACCCCAAACCCTTAAATCCTATACCCTGAACTCTAAACCCTAAACCCTGACCCTCTAAACCCTAAACCCTAAACCTCTAAACCCTAAACCCTAAACCCTAAACCCTATACCCCTGAACCCTAAGCCCCTAAATCCTGTACCCTAAACCCCTAAACCCTATACCCTGAACCCTAAACCCTAAACCCCTAAGTCCTAAACCCTGAACCCTAACCCCTAAACCCTAAACCCCCAAACCCCTTAGCCCTAAACCCCTAAACCATAAATTACGATCGAACTGTAAAAGAAAAACGCTTGGGGACGCTGCCGATCGCTGCAAGACCGACGTGAAGACGTGGTCGAGTCTCACCCCCTGGTCCTTCAGCAAAATGCCCGCCTGGAGAGTTTAGGGTTTAGGTTTAGGGTTTAGGGTGTCGGGTTTCGGGTTGAGGGCACACTATCAAGTTTAGGGGCTTTGGGATTGCAGGTTCGCGTTTGAAGTGGTTGGCTTTAGGGTCTACAGCTGAATGGTTGCGGGATTTCCTGAGTAAGCCAAAGCCCGAAACTTGCCCTAAACCGAATAGAACCGGGATCAGTCCCTTAACCCTAGTCGTGGCTGCAGCCAGCGTTCAGCTTATCACGAAACACATACACAGTCGCCCTTGCCATCGGATCGATTGCTACAGGATGTTATGAATTTGGAGTGTTACTTTTCAGGCTTAGGGTTTAGGGCTTAGGGTTTAGGGTTTTAGGGTTTAGGGTTTAGGGGAGTGTTATTTTTCAGGCTTATGGCCAGTGGGGGCCACGAGGTGTACCCACAACAACCCCCCCCAATTTCGAACAACGTCCTTGTGCAGAACGGCTGGAAGACAGGATAGCACGTGCTCTCGGGGATGGAGGACAGGCAGGCCCGGGATTATAATACTCGCCCTGATTGAGCACACAGATTGGGTTTAGGGTTTAGGGTTTAGGGTTCATGCAAGAGTCGCAACAGCCATACTACCAATAAGCAGGGTCGGCACAAATAGCCACTAGCGGCATCGTCAGTGCGCGCAGCATGAAGACAGGTGTATCAACCAAAGCGGCACGACAACAAAAACGAAATTCAAAAACGCCGATCGTACATGCCGTCAAGAATGCCAAACGACAGATATAACCTAATGATGAACCCTCACGTCTTGCAATCTGAAACGAGCACCATTGTGGAGAATCCGGTCCTAGGTTGACCCTGAAATCCTTCGAAACACTATTTCTGAACACGAGGCCCGGACTTTTTCAAGCATGCTGTTAGCATCCGCCAGCCTATCGCTCATACAACCCCTACTGTAGTGGCCTTCATAATTACCCATACTAGTTTTTTTTGGGGGGGGATCTTTATCATAAGTAAAGCATAATGGGCCCCAAAACCCTATTTATTAAGGCCCCTATATTAAACCTAAACCCTGAACCCTAAACCCTAAACATTATAGACAACTGTTACGGCCCCTATATTAACCATGCGAGTGCCTGAACCGACTGTTGCTCTCCCTTGAGGGACAAGGCCGCATCCTCCCAGCCACCGTAGATGCCTGGTCAAGAATGCATCACGGTTTAAGGTTTAGGGTTTAGGGTTTAGGGTTAAGCCCCAGAACCTCAATTATCTGTGTAGTGGGCGACATTAAAGTTTCCATTGTAGCTCCTTTAACAACACTTTATGGCCAGGATCCTATAAGAAAATTTGAAGAAGTTGGTTCACCAAAACAAGGCCATGGAGACTGTAGGTAGCGATTTCGGGCCAGCAATCCTACTACATGCGGTTTCTAGGGAAGGCCTCGAGATACCTCGAATCTCGGATTTAAGAGCTTTTAAGAGCTGAAGTCTTGAATGTAGCGTCGAGGATGGCTGTTGCTTCATGTAAGCTTGGAGTTTTTTGAAGGTTTAGGGATTGTAAACTGCCGGGATTTGCCTGCAAGAACAAGCTTCGGGAGTCTGGCAATACGTTCTGAACCCTAAACCCACAACTTGTCATCGTAGTTGAAGCATAAGTATTTACGGGCAGCGCACTGAAACCTGGGCCTAAGCAACCAAAACCCTGCAAAACCCACACCCTCCAGGTTCCCCGAATCACGGTACATACTACTTGGTGTAGGGTCTAGGGGGCTTAGGGTTTATGGGGCTTAGGGCTTAGGGTTTAGGGGGTTTACGCTGTAGGACTTAGGGTTTAGGGTTTTGAGAAGGAGACCCCAAAACAAAAAGGGCCAAAGGGTACTAGATGCTGGGAGACCTAACCCAAAAGCCCCCAAACCCCAAACCCAAAACCCTAAACCCCTAAACCCCAACCACAGCAGCCAGCATCATACCCCAAAGGCTCCATGTACCCGCAAAGTATACACCCAGGCCTTGAAGGGCCTCCTTTATTAGTTTAGGGTTTAGGGTTTAGGGGTTTGGGGTTTAGGGTTTAGGCTTTAGGGGTTTAGGGTTTAGGGTTTAAGGTTGGTACTTTGAAGCCTATGTACAAACTTTTTAGGTACATGGAGCCTTAAACCCGGGAGAGCCGGACCCAGCCACGTAGCCTTTCGCATTCCCTAGGCTTTCCGAATGGCGAAGGAAGAAGACCTCGGAGTGGGAGTGTGGGCCTGTGAGACATACCCGAAGAACCCACAACCCTCCTTATCCAGGGCCAACCAGAACCCTATCAAGCGTAGCTTTATATATATATATATATATGTATCTATTTTTTGTATTTTTTTTTGGGGGGGGGGAGGGGCTCTTTTCTGTGAATTTCCTTATAGAAGTCAGTAGAAGAATTCGCTCCGAGTAGGTTTGGCCGGGGTTTAGTTTGGGTTTAGGGTTTAGGGCTAGGGCTTTGAAGTTTAGGGTTTAGGGAGCAAAGGTCTCAGAAGTTTAGGGTTTAGGGAGCAAAGGTCTCATCGTGTCTTGCTGCTTGCTGTTGTGCGGCAAAATCTTGGCCTAAACCCTAAGCCCCATAAACCCTTTAGAGGGGAAGCCCAGCCCGTTCAAATTATTTGTGAAAATAGGGGACCCTTATAAAGTAACCCAAAGAGTAGGATCCTAATTCTAACGACCCCCAAATAAGGTCCCCTATTTTTTTCGGAAACTCCCACTTTGTCAGTCCAAAAAATACTTGATTTGTGCAATGGCGGATTGGATCAGATAGCGATCCCGTTGTTAGGTTTTGACTCAGATTTAATTCGTGGTGCAAGGCTCCACCAGTACAGCTCAAACAGATGACTTTCGGACAAGTACTGCGGTAACAAGGGTCTGATGCTTGACAGCACCCAAACATGAAACAATCCTGTGGGAACGTTTGCGATCTGTTTGGGAATCCCAGCCATAAAACCGATTAACCAAAATTCAAGAAGAAGGAACTACAGTGGACACCACCGGTAAGTTTCATTCGAAGAGAGTCTTCGGTTCTGGGTCCTGGCAAAATCCGAACCCTAGCACCTAAGCACTATGTCAAGTCGGTGGCACCTTGTTCGTGGTCCTCGTGTCCACCGGCACCTGCAAAGCACATGCATGTAAGAATCTGGTGCTTGATCATATTACATGGCAAAGCTTTGGAGCGTGGGCTCAACATGGGCGTGGAGGCACTAGAACCTGGAAAGATGGAACCGAATCCCAAAACTATCACGCACAAGACCTACAATAAAATCAGGTGGTCGTTTGCCCTGAGGCAATCTATCTCCAAAGACAAGACAACACTGACCAACAACCTCCCTGGACCTTACGTCCAAAACGGGTCCATGCACCTACGCAGTAAATGCTTAGGTACCTTTTGGTCAATCTATAAACTACATGAGCACATGGACCCTTCGGACCCAGAGACTCCGAAACCCCCCTTAATCGAGGAAAATACCTGAATTCTTTTTAAGGGTTCCTAGTATATGTTTTAGAAACTATTCCTTAATTAAGGGGTTTTGGAGTCTGTGGGGAACCGTTGGTGTCGCAGGCAGCTTTGGGCCGGCTTGCCTTGGGATTGAACTTCGGGGCATTCAGACTGTACTTCTGCACGAAGACCAAGTCGCTTCCGACCGCGGGCACTTTGAACCTGTAGGGCATAGGGTTGATATACTGGCCTTAATCATCAGAATAGGGTTTTGGGGTATCTTATACTCTAAATCTGATAAGGAACCCCCAGACTAGTATAGGTAATTAATTAACTATTTAAGCCCCTACAGAAGGTTGGCGTGGCTTAGGGTTATAGGGGCTGGGTGGGCTTGGCGTCGAGGCGCTTAGGGCTTAGGGGTTGGCTTTTGGGTTTTTTGTAGGTTTGCTAAGGGGATGGGCTATCGGGTTTTAGGGTTTAGGGCTTGGGGGTTTAGGGTTTAGGGCTATAGGGTTTAGGGTTTAGGGTTTAGCGGCTATCGCATCGTGACGGGCATGGCGCTGGCCATCACCCCGCTTGTCACTGCCATCATTGTCCTCATGAACAATCATCATCATCACCACCACAAGCATCACCATCATATGGCCTAGTTCTTGTGTGTGTATCAGCACGGGAATCCATCACGATCTCAATGCCCACCCCCAAGACAATCTTTGGGCACTGAGCGACTGAAGAAGTAGGGACCGAAGGCCAAGTGTTGGACTCTGACTTTTTTGAATCACTGCATTGCGGTCTCAGGTCGGGAACTCGGATAGGCCAGAAACGCCAAGAAGCATGTGAAACTGCGAGGACTACCTTCCAATTTTTTTAATACTGTTAAACATAGAATACTAAATCCTAAGCCCTAAGCCCTAAACCCTAATTTACATTGGCAGGGGGCCAGCGGCAAGGGGGCGGGAGGGTGGGACTCCTTACAGAGAGCCCAAATCCATTGGAGCAGGCGAGATTTCACCACAGGACCTTGGAGCTCATTTATGGGCTCACGGATAGCAACCTTCTGCTGCTCCGCCCCGGCCCCCCCTCCTCCCCTGTTCGAACGGCGCCTTCAAGGCACCGGCAGTTCGTTCGTTGGCCCTCTTTGTCTGCGGCCGGGCCGAGGCGGACGACGCGAAGCTGGGGGGGTGTTATCGACTGGTGGAGACGTAAAGAGGCTCAGAAGATTGAGCGTTTGGAGGCTGAGCTTAGGGTTTAAGGTTTAAGGAGTCTAAGGAGCCTAAGGAGAGGCATAGCACTTAGGGCTTAAGGGGCCTAAGGAGGGTTGTAGCACATGGAAAACTAGGCAGAGCTGGTGTTAAGACTGCAGCTCATGAGCTCAAGTCGCTAAAAGACCACGCCTTGACGACGGCCTGGGGTTTGAGATCCTTTTCCGTGAAGACACCAATAGAAAGGTACCCAAGTCCGACTCCAGGAAATGACTGCCGCCGCCCTAAAATCCCTGAACACTATACAACCACACCACCAACAACACCCTGAACTCCTAAACCCTAAACCATAAACACTGAACCTCTCTCTTTGCGGGCTGCGAGCTCCATGACCAAAGGTGCACTCGCAGGCATCATCTTGATGTCCAGGGCATCTTCATCTGGCACGTTCCTTGAGAGTTTCCCCAAGGGTCCAAAGGACCCAATAATCAGGTACTCAGGTTTCGGATAGTAGTTATGTAGGTTACTATTTAGGAGAGTATATGATTATTAGGTACTTGGACCCTTAGGGTTTAGGTTAGGGGCTTGGGGTTTGGTGTTTATTTTGAGTCGCAAATACCTTCGTCTCATGAGAGCTTCCAATGGCTACATCTACCTGGGAAACTAGTACAGAGGCCTTAATAAGTTTAGTACGGTGCGGGGCTAGATATCATAAGGAACCCTGAGGAATAATGCTGGTAATGGCCCAGGCTTTTATGTTGCATCATCATCATCATCATCATCACCATCATCATCCTGGTCCTCACCGTGAACTATCATCACCTCCATCTTTTGCTTCCTTACAGTCACGCTCGCATAGTCGGACTGAATCACAAATGCCTGTGGAATATTTGCACCGAGCTTCTCCAAGTACTTCCACAGCGCGCGCAGTGAGTTCTTGTGCGCAGCTACCTCGGTAACGGTTCAGCTAACCCTAGGGGTCCAAGTACCTAATAATCATATACTCTCCCAACTAGTAACCTACATAACTACTATCCGAAACCTAAGTACCTGATCATTGGGTCCTTTGGACCCTTGGGGTAACATTGGTTTGCGGATCTGCATCTAAACTTGCGTGATTCTGAGCTTGCGGCTTCAGCATTTGGATTGGCTGACAGGTTCAGGTTCAAACACTCCAAAACCCAAGCAAGGACGTTTTCGTCTCCATGACTCGTCTCATGCGTTCCTGCAGAGCAACCGCAGCCACTATGTACCCGAATTCGTACCAATGCTACTAATGCTTCAACTTGATTTTGATGTGAAGATTAGGGGTTGTTTCAACCTACCTATAGTCTCCATCGTAGTTCCTTTTTTTGGTTTAACCAAATAAGCATTAAGGTTTTTATAAGGTACGTATCCCCAACAAGGAACTACAATGGAGACTATAGGTAAGTTCAGAATCTGCATGATTCGTCGGATTCTCATATGAGCCACAAGCCTCCAAATGCCGATAAGGGCGTCACGGCAACAGGAAGTCCCTGAAATCTCAGAAACTCCGGCTCTTACGCCTGAATCTTTAAATGAGGTCGTCTTGTTGCGAGACAGCTTAGAGTTCCGGCAAGGTTCAGACCAAGACGACGCCAAAACCCTAAACCCTAAACTCTAAACCCTAAGCCCAAAACCCAAAACCCTAAACCCTATACCGTAGGACCTTCAAGCTCGAACCAAAGAAGACGTCACTCTCTTCCCAAACCCTAAACCGTTCTCAACCCCGAAACCGCCTGAAAACCCTAAACCCTAAACCCTGAACCTAAACCCTAAACCCTAAACCCTAAACCCTAAACCCTAAACCCTGAACCCTAAACCCTGAACCCTAAACCCTTAAACCTGAACGAACTACAAACCCTTCACCCTGAACCCTTGCCTTGAAATTTCTAAACCAAAAAATCCTAAAACCCTACACTAAAGGAAGCTACAGCTGGGGAGTTTAGGGTTTATAGGGCTTTTCTATAATAAGGCTTCTATAAGGTATATAAACCTTCTATAAGGCTCCTATAACGGTAACTACCCACCTGAAAATGTCCTAGACTGCACTAAGCCCGACAAGGATCCCTAAGCGGAACTCTTATAGGAAGCCATAAAGGATCCAATCCCCATAGGGTTTAGGGGTTTATAGGGTTTAGGGTTTAGGGTTTAGGGTTTAGGATTTAGGGTTTAGGGCACCGCAGAAAGCTGAGATGCCAAGACAGACTCTCCCGCGCGGATTCGCGGCACGATCTTCTCCTTTTTGGAACTAAGGGGTTTGGGGGTTGGGTTTATGGTTTAGGGTTTGGGGTTTAGGGTTTAGGGGTTTGCGGGTTTGGGGTTTAGGGTTTCAGGGTTTGGGTTTAGGGGTTTCGAAATTGTGGAAGTAGGTTAAATAAGGGTTGAGGGTTGTGGGGAGTTTTAGGATTTAGGGTTTAGGGTTTAGGGTGCATTCGTACTTACAGTTTCCAGACCGCTACTGATGACCGACATGTTTCTTGATCATGGCTCCAATCGCAGCAGCAACGCTGAACTTTGCCATCATCGAAATTAGCACCATTGCGCGAATTTTTGGCGATTGAAATATATTGAACAACGGATATATGAGTTTGTACATCAGTGCCATCCATGTTCACTGCCATGCTTGTTTCAGCAGAGCCATACTAAGTATCGAGCTTAAGAAGCTGGCTTAGGGGTAAGGGTTTATAAGCCCAGACGCACGCAAAAAAAACGACGGATCCCAATACGTCAACTCTAAACCCTAAACCCTAAACCCTAAACCCCAAACCCTAAACCCTAAACCCTATCACTAGTGTTCAAAAGACCTGGAAGCTGGCCCAGAAGCAAAATCATACACAAAAAACGCTGACTCAAACGCACAGACAAGGGTTTAGGGTTTATAGTGCCATAGGGTTTAGGGTTTTGGGTTTAGTGAATGCGACGATGCCAGACACAGAGACTGTATGAAGCCCTGGTCGGTAGCAACATCTACTTATGAGTTGTACTATGAGAGACAGACCTCCTGTCCTGCCAATGCGGCACCACCCGCCGCACCGTGCAGGCCAGTGACTCTCCGCCAGGGGGCAACCTGAAAACGAGACAAGCCGATACTCACAACCTGACAGGATACATAGTACAGCTACCCATAGGCCCCATAGTAGTTCCTTTTTTGGGGTTCATACTTAGAATCCTATAAGGTAATCCCAAACAGGAGCTACTATGGGGCCTATGGGCAGTAGCAAGGTACAGATCGCCTTTTTTGCAGTGAGCCCTAAACCCTAAACCCTAAACCGTAAACCCTAAACCCTAAACCCTAAACCCTAAACCCTATAAACCCTAAACCCTAAACGCCTTAAGGCTGACATGAGCCTTGCCTCGAACGGCTCGTTTTACGGGTCGGATGATTTGGAAAATCTCTGCATCTCGGGTGAGCGAAAAAGCTTCTGGATTAACCCCAAACCCTAAACCATAAACCCTAAACCCTAAACCGCATGCGGATGCTTCGTCCCCCAAAAAGCAAGGCACTCTTATGATAGCGGCCCTCCTGTTGTGGGGACTTTGGGTTTGGAGCCAAGTTGTCTTTCTTCAAAGCGCAGCTCCTTTCTGCAAAGTTTATGGCTTGGCTTTTGATAGTTGGGGTTCAGAGTCTAGGGGCTGCAAGATGGAGTTTAGGGTTTAGGGATAAGATCTCCAGGCCTCAGAGGTTCGGGTTTGGGGATTAGATTCGACCTAGTGAGAATCTGATAGACCTGCACCTTTAGCATGGGGGGGGGCGGGGGGGTTGGGGCCTGAGGATCCCATAGGGTTAAGGGTTTAGGGGTTTAGGGTTTAGGGTTTAGGGTTTAGGGGAATTGCGGTGTCCTCAAGATGTCTCTCACTGTTTGCACACTGACACTAGAACTGGAAATGTACTAACTTTCAGGTGTGCTGTTGCTGGGTACGTGCTGGTACGTCTGGCCCTGGGTCGTGGGAGATGTATTGAACTGAACTGTTATCACAGCAGGTCTACAACGACTATTCCGGATCGAAAAATATACATATATAGATAGAAAGAAGTACAAGAATATGTGTGTATATATATATATATACATACATATACACAGACACTTTTCGGCACACTTCGAACATCATACCCCAGACTACTGCACCGTATAACCCTAACACCGGAAGTTTAATTAAGCCCTGTACCCCTCCCTATAGATCCCTTAAAGGGCCCCTGATAACCCCTACTTACTAAGTCCTTCAAGTAGGTTGCCTACTGCTCGAAGGAGTGACTCTCTGCCCTTTCGAGCCGGTGGGCCCGAAACATCAGCCCCACACAAACCCAGCTTAACCTCAAACCCTAATTAAGCACCTCGGTGTAGGGGTTTAGGGTTTAGGGATCCCAAACCCTCAACCCCAAGACGCAAAATCCAGACTCTGTAACCCTCATGTTTCAACGCACAAGAGATACGAGGGACTGTTCCGGCGGCACGTCCGCGTACTTCGAGTCGTTTGCGGGGTGCCTCGGATCCTGCGGTACGGTTTCGTGGTCGGGGTCCTAAACCCTCAACCCCTAAACCCGAAACCCTAAACCCTAAACCCCTTAAGGCTAACGTTTGGGAGTCTGACTTTGAAGGTTTCCTCCGGGCGGCCCATTTCATGCAGGCTTCGTCTGACTTTGACTTTCTGGTTTGTCTGGCAATAAGGGGAGCGGGGGGATCTGGGACCCGTCCTTGACATGACAGCTTTGGGGTTTAGGGTTTAGGGGTTTAAAAGTTTAAGGGTTTAGGGTTTAAGGGGAATCTTGCAAAGTCTCCAGCATTCGGTAAGACCCCCAATCAGCGACCTGCCTTCTGCCAAGCGCATATCTGTCAATCGTAAATCCAAAATGGTTGCCTGTACCCCGAAGCCGCAGCTGACTGTTAAACCGTCACCCTAAACCGTAATCCCTACGGCCAAGCCGCCGAATGGCAACAGGATCAGTCCTCGCGGTCGACACAAGCTGGCAGGACGTCGTAGCTGCTTCTCCAGTGCCTCACTGAGCTTGTCTCAACAAGCCTGCTTAGGGTTTTAGGGCCGCACCCTTTAAACCTGAAGCATGCAACTTCCCCAGTTTTTTTTGGAGGTCGCTGTCTAGTTCTGGGACAGCCCTCGACGGTGCGTAGAGGTTTTAAATGGTTTTAGGGTTCAGGGCTCGTGGCTAGTACCTCATTGCAGCCACGGTGCGTGACATTGGACTCGCCATACAGGGCAACTGCTTCGGCTTGTGTCAATCCTGTTGCATTTGGGTTGGAGGTTCAGATGTAGTAGTTTCTTTGTTGACAACAGCTTGCAACATTTTCCGACAGGACTCACTGGCCACGTGCTTTAGGGTTTAGGGGATGCATACATGCTTGCACGTAGGTAGGTATGTAGGTATGTGCGTATGTCTTTCCATGTCGGTCTGTCTGGCTGGTTGGCAGTCCGTCTGTCTGTGTGTGTGTGTGTCTGTATGCATGTCTGTCTGTGTGTATGTCTTCGCGTGTATTCACATATGTCTATATGTATTTGTATATGTACGCATGCATGCATGCACGTACCAGCTATGCAGAAGACAACAATTTAGTTGACCAGATAGGTACAGAATTACAAAAACCAAACAAGCAAACTAAGAGAAAGTCGAAAGATCGCTTGGTACGTCTGCGTGCACGGTTGCTCTAAAAGAGCTCCCTCCTGGACGGATCCTTGGCAGGGTTTCTTCTGTTGTGCGAAGCACAGGCGCTAAGCATATGTATTAAGAACTCGATACGCCTCCTTTGAAGATGCATGCGCTGCTACCACCAATGCATAAACTGCTTTGTAGCGGTACGGCGTCTCCGAACTCAAGGCAGTGGGCAAAGAATGAGCTGTTTCGATCATTCCCGTTTCGATCATTCCCGTTCTGCCAGACGAAACCATGTCACTTTCCAGTCCTGTGCTTAGAACCACATACATAAAATAGAGATAACTAAAGCTAACCTCGTAGCGAAGCAGCCTCGAATTCCCACATGCGCATGCCCCGAACACCTAAACCCTAAACCCTAAACCCGAGACCCTAAACCCTAAACCATAAACCAAAATCCGACGGCTAAGCACTGGCCTGCTTTACCCTGGATCTGTGGGTCTCGGGAAACACTAGGTGTACCTCTAGTCTCCATGGTAGTGCCTCTTTTTGGTTAACAAATATATATATATATATATATATATATATGTATATATATATATACACACCGATATGCATGTATACTTCTATAAACAAATTATGCAGAGGTATAGACTATAGGATCATACGGAGACGATAGGTAAGGCTCCACTTCAGGATCCCTTTCTCTGGAACTTCCAGCGGCCCCTGAGAACAGACAGACTGAACGGCTCCATCTAGTCACATAGTATATACCCATAGGCCCCATAGTGGTTCCTTTTTGGGGGTTCATATTTAGAACCCTATAAGGTAATCCCAAAAAGGAACTACTACGGGGCTTATGGGTACTCACATAGTATATACTTAGGCCTTGGAGGGGTTCCTGTATCTAGGTACTTTAAAGCCTTAGGTATATACTATCTAGGTACATGGAGCCTAAAACCCTAACCCCACAACATACCCTTATAGGTACATGGAGCCTTAAACCCTAAACCCACAATATACCCTTATAGGTACGTGGAGCCTTATAAGGGAGAGGGCCTTGAAGTCCACCAGAGTGGCGTGCGTTCAGCCGCCAGGACTTGTCGATGGGTGCGGAGGTGTTTCCAGAAACCTATGGCTTGTCTTGTCTTCAAGGTTTAGGGTGAAGGGCTTTAATGTTTTTAGGGGCTTAGGGCTTGAAACTATTAAAAGGTTTTAGGGCTTAGGACTTTAATGTTTTAGGATTTAGGAGTTCAGGGTGGCTTTGCATGCTTTTCGGAGATGAAACGTTCAGGCCTCACCCCTCACCGCCAGAACAACCCGATAGTTGCAGATTGGTGTAGAAGCCGGAAGCTGCAGAACATCATATTGGTTACACTGGATGTATACAGTATACAGTATAAGGGTTTAGGATTTAGGGGCTTAGGGTTTAGGGTTTAGGGTTACCAAATACACCTAACCCCAAAGCCCTAAACACGTAAACCTAAACCCTAAACCCTAAAACCTAAACCCTAAACCCGAAACCCTAAACTCCAAAACCTAAACCCCCTCCATTTCTTGAGGCCCTCAGATTGCCGAGTCGCACGGGTGGCCAACTCTGCCGTCTTTATCGCACGCCTGGGGGCTCTGCTTCCAAGCATTGAGTTTAAGAGCCCGAATGTTTAGGGTTTGGGGCTTAGGAATTTAAGAACCTGCCTGTTAAGGGTTTAGGGTTTAGGGTTTAGGGAACCCCAAACCCTAAACCCTGAACCCTAAACCTTGAACCCTCAGCCCTCAACCCCGAACCCTAAACCCTAAACCCGAAACCCTGAACACTCAGCCCTAAACCGCGAACCCTGAACCCCAAGCCCTACGGTTCCTCCTAAGTATTGAATATTCAACCCAGGGTCTGGCGAGAGGTGTAGCATCAGTCTATTAGAGCTTGGGTTTAAGGTTTAGGGTTTAGGGTTTAGGGCTTAAGGTTTAGGGTTACGGCACCTTGCTAAGAAGGACCTTTCGGATATCTGTAGCAAAACAGCTGTGAGAGCACAACAAATCTTAGGAGTAAGCAATTGATCGCATGTTCTTGGCGATCTTGTTAAGGAAGCCTACGAAAGAATATCCGGCCCCTATACTACGTTTTCTTTGGCTGGGGTTTATCGGGCTTCTGGGCTTCGGGGCGTTCTAATTAGACTTGGAGGACTCGCTGCTTTCTGGGACGACGTGTTGGGTGCAGGGTTCCAACTTATCTTGTGAACTTTCACGGCTATTCGGCGTTGCAGTGCTCCCGCGTTTGTTCAGGTTGGGAGACTTGAATGCAGAAGGCTTCGGACAGTCTCTGCTGTGAAGAGGTGCGGGTTTAGGGATCAAGATCATTGAGCACAGAACCACCGTACTCAGCGGATCGCAGTATCCCAGGTAACCCTGACCTCCCAAACCCTAAACTGGCCCTAAAACCCTAAACCCTTAACCCTTGACTCTAAACCCTAAGCCCCTAATTAGCTCCAAGACACACATGCCAGCCAGGAATACACACACATACATACATGACATCCATCCATCCTTCCATACATCGATCCTTACATCCATCCGTGCATGCATGCATACATTCATATAATATAGATGTCTGAGATGCGAACTCACACATCTCTTTCAAAGCGAAGCGGCAAACCACGAAGCAACTCAAACACTTGAGGACCCTGAATCCTCAAGCCTGAACCTCAACACGACCCTGCTTTGCCCTAGATCAGCCTTAAATCCTGCACACGCTACGAATCCTTTCACAATTAATGTAGGGGCCCTGATAATTAGAATAGGGTCTTAGGGGTTCCTTCTTGTAATTATAGTATGATATATACCCCCCAAACCCTATTCAAATTAGTTCGGCTCCGATGTTAAACTCCCAAACTTGTACTTCTGAGGCCTACACCCTTCCACTCCCAACGCCGCCAACACCCTCAAGCCTGAACCCTCAAGGGCTTAAATCCTAAAGACGGGAATCCTCAAACCCGAAAGCGCCCTCAAAGGCCTGCTGAACCCTTGAACCCGAAACAAAACCCCACACCCCAAACACCTCATGCCTGAAACCCTACGCCCTGAAGTCCCTAAACCCATGAACCTCGCAAGACCCACCCCTGAGGATCTATATATAAATCCCTCCTTGTCGTCCGCACCCAGAGGCTCCATGTACCCATATAGTATATACTTATAGGCCTTTAATGAACGGGGATCCTATATAGGGACTTAAAGTCCCAATATATCTATATAATTTGGGCACCTGGAGCCTTGCAATTTGCCCCCAGACACGTAGTTGCTCAGGCCCCAAGGCCTTACAATTGAAATCACTTGTTGCAAAACAAAAACTCATAGTCACTGTAGTAAGGCGACTGGTATCGTAAGTATAAACCCTAACCCTCCAGGTGCCTACTATATAGGGCCTTAGGGACTCTAGTACCCTATATATGGGTAGTTTTCTAAACTAGGGTCCCTTTTAGGGTCCTTCTATAAGGGTGCCGTACAATATTGGGGACATAAAAAGGGACCGTAATTTAGACAACTCCCCATATAGTTATAGGTACCTGGGGGGGGTTCGGGTAAAGCCTCTGGAACCCTAAACCCTAAACCCTAAACCCTGAACCCGAAACCCTAAACCCTAAACCCTGAACCTAAACCCTCTAAACCCTAAGCCCTAGACCCTAAATCCACCTCTTCGGAGTCCAAGCCGCTGGAGCGCTGAGGTGAAGACCGCGTCGAACTTCAGCCCCCTTGCCTTCAGGGTTGAGGGTTTGGGGTTTAGGGTTCAGGGTTTAGGGTTGAGGGTTTCGGGTTTAGGGTTTAGGTTTAGGATTTAGGGCTTAGATTTAGGGTTTAGGGTTGACGGTTTCGGGTTTAGGATTTAGGGTTCAGGGTTCAGGGTTTAGGCCGTCGAATTCAGCTCCCCTGGCCTTGAGGCAAAGACCCACCTCCTCGGCCTGCAAGTCAGCTTTTGGTGCTTTTCTTTTGTGTTTTTCTTGGTAGGGTTTAGGGTTTAGGGTTTAGGCTTTTGTGAAGTTTTTGTGCGGGTGTTAACATTTGCGAATTTTACGTAGGGTTTATAGGGCGTAGGAGTAATGCTGGATGCGGGGGTAAGGAAACGGGAAGTTGGCGTAGGGTTGACCCCAAACCCTAAACCCTGTAGGGTTGAGCTCTGAGACTCTGCGTTTGACTTGATGTCGATTTGTTGTGTGTTGTGTGGCTGTTTTTGGCCGCGTATTATATGGTTACGGTTCTAGTTGCGGTTCGTGGACATACCTAGGTCTAACCAGCTTTCTATTTGGGATCCTACAAGGTACTCCAGAAAAGGAACTACAATGGAAACTACAGGTATGGGCCACTTGCATGGTTGTGAGGCAGGACTTTAGCATGAAGGGTAAATGCTAGAAGTGAAGGTGATGCACCATGCTGCAGCAGGAACCTTACAGTCCGACCAAAAAGTTAGCTCACCAACCAAGAAGAGGAGTAGCAAGTCGCGGCTTAGTACTCTAGCCCAAAAAAGCTTAACCTTTCCAGTTGTGGTAGGGTTATATAAGCCCCAAAGGTCAGAGGTTACCTACCCAGCTACGAAGAACTAGTCTGACTCTTGGGGGCCTCTTGCTCACCTCGGACGCTGAGAGGTGTGTCGTCCCAGCCCGTATACACCTCACTCTAGGCTTTTCACGAGAGGCATCAAAATTTTTGGGTGGTTCACGGTTGGCTCTATGGCATTAAGGTAGGGGCCTCAATAATTAGAATAGGGTTTTGGGGCCCATTATACTATAGTTAGAATAAGGAGCCCCCCAAAATAGTATAGGCACAGGTAAGTATTGGGGCCCCGATATTATGTCGGATGGGTGCCGGGTGTCAGGAGGAAGTCGCTCTATTCCTTGTCGATCGGAGCTGAGTCACAGGGGAGTTTGAGGGTTTTGGAACCTCCAGCGACCATCCTCAGCTTCACCCAGAGCCTCTATGTTACTTCCTCGTTTTCCTTGTTTTACAATTTAGGGTTTAGGGTTTAGGGGTTTAGGGTTTAGGGTTTAAGGGTTGTGGGTTTAAGGGTTTAGGGGTTTAGGGGTTTAGGGTTAGGGTCCTAGGAAAAGTGATTCAGCACAGCAAGGACCTCAATGGAGATAATCGCGAGCCCCGTTCATTGCCTTTGTAAAGCATACGTTTGAGGTCTGATGCGTCTGGGTGATAGGAGATCGGCAAGAAATGGGGATGTGGGCCTCTGTAGACAGAGCACGTCGATTTGCATGTCTTGGTCGGTCATCAGGGAATAGGGAACGGTAGATTCGTCCTGGCAACAAAAAGTGTAAACTTGTATTTCATAATGACTCCTCTGAGGAATAGGCACCAAAAAAGTATTCAAACATGATACTCCAAACCCTGGACACTGTAATGCAGGGGCCTTAATAGTTAGAACAGGGTTTGGGGTTCTACATTATACGACAATTCTAATGGGGAAGCCCCAAAACCCCATTCTAATTATTAAGGCCCCTACAATACAGCTGTACTTCAATTGAACTTCGCTGACTTCTGAACCCCTCCAGAAAGCGAAACTTTTAGTCTCCTTCTTATAGTGCATATAGGAACCCAAAAAGTTAGAGTCTTAAGAGCCAACCAGAAGAACACCAATTGAAGGAGCCGCTTAGTTTTCGGACCCCTGCTGCCCAAGTCGCATTTTTCGCATTGCCTTGGCTTTCTCCGTGGCGAACGAAGACCACCTGCACAATGATGGGTATAGGGTTTAGGGTTCACAGCGGGTTCGGCAGCAAATGCGATCAACTACGGAATCGACAAGATTCCACCCTTGAGCCCCAGAATGAGCAAATCTTGATGTGGCCTTTTGTCCAGGGAGCGCCAGTATCCCTGAAGAAAGCTTGCTGCAGCAAAAGATCGCTATCGAAGCTAAGCCATACCCCATATGGTAGTTTTGAAAACAAGAGGTTCAGGGGAACTGCGGAACTATACAACGGACGCCAATGTATGCATATTACAGAGGACCGACCTTGGCCACCTGCTCGCCGGGACTGCCGCTCGCATAGCCATTGGAGGCCGCCATCGTGGCGACAGCAAGGGGGCAGGGGCGTGCTCTCACTGCGCTCAGGACTCGCATTCGAAATCTGTGGCCCCGAAGATTATCCTGATGCTGTTCTTTGCCGATTGACCACTGCTATAATCAGTTGTTTGTAAGAGGACCATGCTCACGTTCGCCGTTTCACGTTATGGTTTCACCTCCCTGGCTTTATTGACCACGTGTTGCTTCTCCAGGCCTTCTGCCTCAGAAGCACAGTGACCTTCTGACCATATATGGGTTTTATGCCTGAGGCCAAAAACTATGTTGGCGAGTAAATGAGCGTCAGGGCCCAGGGCCAGTGAGGTTGGGATTTCGGATGTAGGACACCAGGACAATCACCTACAGATAATCGGAACAAGAGAGGCGCCCTAAACCGAAAACCCTAAGGTATGAATCTCTTTGCTTCCTACTGTTAAACTCTCAACTCAAAGCCCTGCAGATCTCTCGGCACGCATCTGCTTTTTTGTAGATCCTGGACGTCCTTAAGACTGTTTTCTCTAGATTTTGGAAGGCCATCACAGTGGGCGGGTGTTGGTTTCATGCTTCCAATGCTTTCGCAGCTAGTCGGCTAAGTCTCAGCTGCAGCCACGGTCGCACGATGCCGGAGATGCTTCAAGCACATTTACGCCACCAAATTGACATGATCCGAAGAAACAGAAGACGACGGTTGGGCGTGTATGCGGTATGTTTTGGCCTCGAAAGCTTAGCTGCTTGCTAGCTTGAGGGCCTAGTTATCCAGCAGATATTGACTACAAGACCCTGTCCGTGGAAAACCCAAAACCCGAAACCCTGAACCCTAATTCTATGATGAGCACTCAGCACTCACGCCAAACCCTGCGCTCTCAACCCGAAATTCTCGCAGACAGAGGACCATAACTGCCGCAGCAGCCATGCTATCAGAACCCTTGACCCTTCATCTTTTGCCGCCTCAATACGAAGAGAGCAGTGGTGGTATGTCAGAGTATGATTATGTAGGGACTTGGAGGGGATATTCTTAGCAGCCATAACCCAGTTCTCAGAACTCTCCATTCTACTTAAGAGTTCTTGAGATCATGCTTTCAGGTTTCTAGCCCAAGGCTTCCCAGCCCCACGCCCTCAACCGCAATCCCGACACCCGGAAATGAGGTCACTGAGGCCCTAAAGCCCGAAGCCCAAACCCAAAACTGGATGCTTCATGGTGTTGAACGCAGGTCTGCAGATTGATTGGGCTGAAGCTTTACGGATGCGGGGGTGTAGAAGATGAAAATAGGCCTGGTTGTATATACAAGGTTTACGCTGGACTTTGAGGCTGTTGAGGATTCGGACAATAAAATTCAAATCCAACTGCTTATAGAGCTTTGCGCGATGCTCCCCGAAGCCATCTTGACTTCAACAACGACGCCCGCAAGCAAAGCCTCAAATACCCAGAAGAGAACTGAACACTCCACGTCTCCTCCTGCCCACCTCCTGGCGTCACCTGACTTCCGGAGAGTGTGCGCGGCCAGTGACGACACTTTGGGGTCTTGGGTATGTTGCTGTGTTGATGGTGGCTTTCTGTTGCTAGGTTAAAAAAGTGGATGGGGCTTGTAAGTTTTCGGAACTTGAGGTTCAGCCCCTCACGTTCGAGCCTTGCTCGGTGAAGCGGTCAAGCTAGTAGCTGCTGATTTCAGTAGTACAGTTAAGTCAGTAAAGCCCTAAACCCCAAACCCCAAACTTAAAATCTAAACCAATAGGTACAGCATCATCAGACCGTTGCGAGGTAGATCGATTAGAACAGGGTTTTGGGGCACATTATACTAT